CACAAGGTCTTGGGACATAGAAATGGTAACTTAGGTTGAATATCAACTCAGTTGGATTTCCTGTTAAAGTTCCATGATCCTTTCAGCAGCTTCCAAATTGACCATGGGCCAACTGGAAGAAAGCCTGAATTCCCTATATGAGTAAGTTTTTAATTCCAGTGGTTTGGCACGACGAGGCAGAGCTAATATCTTGGGAGTACTTGAATATCATTGATGAATACCCTGTAGATTTATTATTTATTTATCAAATTTTTGTACCTGCCCATCTCACAAAGAAATGACTTTGGGCGGTGTACGAACAAGGCTAAAAACAATTAATTAATAAATGGCCAGGGGCATCACAAAACCCTATAATTAAGATATTGGGCTTCAAAGGAATTGTGTCCAAATCATTCCGTGGGTGTATGCCTTGCAGAAAAAGGCTTCACACCACAATCTATTTTCTCCCAGAAGTTTCGCACAGAAGATTTGGTATGCATGTAGGTCACAGTGATAAAACAGAATGTGTTCTGCAGTATCCATACTCCATCCAGTTCTGAAGGGCTGGATACTCTTAGTGCTAGATGAAAAATGCTATCCAGCTCGTTCTGATATGATACAAACTGATTTGAGCAGGCTTGGCTTGCACCTCTCAGATCATATTGGAATATAAACAAACACTTTTTAATATGCTTCCTTGAAATAAAGACATGTTTTTCAGTAGAACGCAGAAGATAGAATAATAGGGTTGGAAGGGACCTTGAGTTCTCCTAGCTAGTCTAGTCAACTAACTGAGAATAGAATCGAATCATGGGGCTGGAAGAGACCTTGGACTTCTGGCCCAACCCGCTGCCCAAGGCAGGAGAACCTATACCATCCCAGACAAATGACTGTCCACTCTCTCTCTTTGAAAACCTCCAATGATGGAGCACCCACAACTTCCATAGACAATGCATTCCACTGATTAATTGTTCTCACTGTCAGAAAATTTCTCTTTAGTTCTAGGTTGGATCACTCTTTCATGATCTTCCATCCATTGCTTCTTGTTCTGCCCTCAGTTGTTTTAAAAATAGCTTGTCACCTTCCTCTCTGTGACAGCCCCACAAGTACTGGATGACTGCTATCACATCATCCTTAACCCTTCTCTTCATTAAGCTAGACAAACCTAGTGCCCTGAAGTGAACACCACATGATTTAATTCCAGAGTCCAAATCATCTTCATTGCTTTTCTCTGCACTCTTTCTAGGTCTCAGCATTATTATTTTTTTTATTTTTTTGTGTAGTGGTGACCAGAATTAGATGCAATATTCCAAGTATGGTCTCACCAGGGCAATATAAAACATTACTATCACTTCACGTGATCTTGAAGCTATCCCTCTATTGATGCAACCTAGAACTGTTTTAGGGTTTTTTTTTGGGGGGGGGTAGTTGCAGCACACTTTTAAGCTCAAATTTATGTGGGGTGGTCTACTATGACAGCTGGAGCTGTCTCACAGTTGCTATTGTTCTATAAAACCCCTTGTCTCTAAAAGGTATCAAAATATATATTCCTAGGTCAGGGGTGGGCAAACTACGGCCCGAGGGCCACATCCGGCCCGTTGGTCTTTTTAATCCGGCCCGCCGAAGAATTAAGGTTTGATGTGAATGATTGAATGATTGCATTCATTTGATTTTGACTTGTAATGACAGGCATTTTGACACCAGGTAGCAGCCCGTCTGTCAAATTTTAAAAGTCAATGAGGCCCCCGAGCCAAAAAGTTTGCCCACCCCTGTCCTAGGTAGATATTAGAATATGTATTTTAAGAGAGACATATTTAAATATAAGAATGTTATTGGTTCTGCATTTTTAAAGAAACTGATTAAATTTTCAATGAAACTTTTTAATCCAAATGTTCTAATGCATAAGCCCACATTGATCTGTATACCAGGGAAACTGCATGTCAATTAGCATGCATTATTTTGTATTTCTTAATTTGCAGCTGCTGCAGATATAGGAGGAAATAAATTTAGAGCTGAATACATGCAAGTGAATTGACTATTGGGAAATTTAATTAACTAATACTAACAAACATGGATCAGCAGTAGACTGATTGAACTAATTCATAGTTTGAATTGGATTTAAATGCAAATTTTAGGTACATTGGAAATGTAATTCACATGATGAATTAATTGGTAGATCATTCAAAAAAAAAGATTCTAAGTAAAAATAAACTGACTCATCTCTCAGTTCTTCCTCAAGAACCTATAATTCTTAGCTATTGTTTTGCAAATCATCTTTAGCTTTACTTGTTCAGTCATTGCATTGAGTATCACATATCATATTTATTTGAAAGGAAGACAATCTTGAATTTAAGATGACATTTGGTGAAAAAAGTAACTAGAATTGGACAAAAATCTATTTAAACATATACTAAAGCTCTATGTGGTGCCCATTTTCAAACCACGGTTGCCAGCTTTAAACAAAACAGATGCTTCCTCCTCCAATACTTTTGTATTGCACATATTTGTGCATTTGCACATGTACAGTATGTGTGCACATACTGGCTAGAGGCCACATTTCAAAATAAGGCAGGTCCAAAATGAGGAAGAAAAAAGGGAAGGTAGGAGGCTGAAGAGGTGGTGAGAGGAGAAATAAGTGAGCTAGGGTTAAGAAAGGAAAGAGAGTAACAGAGAAAGAGAACAGAAAGCCCAGTAGGTATTTGGATCTTACACAGCAAGTATAAATCTACAATAGGAATGCTGTGGTAATTTTGAAATCTTATTAAATTCAGTTCATAGGCTGCTGCTGGGCTTGAAATAGATGACTTTAGTGGGGTGATGGAAACAGGTTAGGACTAGGGTTCAAACTCACAGGGCATTGGAGAAAAAGCTCCCCCCCCCCACACACATTCACACTTACACTTGCAACCCAAAAACTTTGACAGAGGCATTTGTGCTGAGTTGTAAGGAAATTCAAACCTACGCATGCTTACAATGTCATAAATCCCATTGGGACCAATGGCTTTTCCAAATGAATATGCTTGGGATTATCAGACCTGTTTGGTCATCTGAAATCCATCAAGAGAGGTGAAAACTATTCAAGAGGAGTGGGAGGCCTGAATGCCCTTCCTACCCATTTCTCCGGCTACCCTCCATAAGGAGGATAAAATGAAAAAAACAAAAAAACAAAAACAAATGGGGAGCAGACATCTCCATTGTTATATCTTTTCTGCCGCTCACTGGAATCATTGACATCTAGATACCTCGATTCTCCCATTCTTCTTTTTCACTTTGAACAAAATCTGCTTTGAATATAAGACAATCCTCCCACTTCAGAGATAAGTCTTTTTGGTTAACCTCCTGCTTCTCATCTTACTTGATTTTCAATGGCTACAGGTTTTTTTTTTTAAACTTTAAAGAACACAGGCTTACTTGGAGGTCAAGCATTCTCTTTGCCCCTACACAGAAGGTTTCTTGAATCTCCTGAACCACAATCACACCTTCATCTTCAACTTGATATAGACAATTGATCCTGTCTGTGGGGATTCTGACCTATCTACCCCCTTGTAAATCCCTTGTTCCTTGTTTTAAAACACCTGCAAGAACAAAACTATAATCCTTCTGAAGAATTTGCAATTCCCAGGCAGTCTTCTGTGTAAGACCATGGTCTTAGCACCGCCAGCATTGTCACTTCCCAAAACATAAGAGTAGTATTCATTAGGGAAACATCTCTTCAATGAAGCCTTTCCTAGACGTCATTTAAACTCTGCAGGTATTTCCTCCATGTTCTTGCTGTGTCATGCTCTTGTATTTCTCAATGAGGTTGAAGGGGCAGATCCCTTAGGTTGGAACTGGTTTGAGTCTGAATGCTACAGTGGATTGTAAGCTTAGCAAGGGAGCATAGGAACTCAGCTCTTTTCCTTCCCTCCATGTTCCCTCCCATCAGACCCCTCCTTCTTTGGATATTTCTCCCTAGGATTCCCCTCTTCCCTCAACCCCATCCCCAATTGGGGTTAGAAATAACCCTTTCCCAGCAATTTGGGAGATGAAAAACATGCTGTATCAGCATTTGGCAAGAAGCTCTTTCTCATGCTACTGTAACATCAGTGCCAAGAGTTCAGTGCCAAGAGATATTTTCCTGATTGTCCTACCAGCTCTCATTCAATGTGATGAGAAAATTTGCTTTTGAAAGTCTTCCTAAGGGGGGAAAAATAGAAAACTTCCCTATGTGCTCTTCTGGTTATATTACTACAAAGTGAGGAAGGGGATCTATGTTGATATCCAGCCTTTCACTGCACCGTCATCATGCTGGGCTCTGGCTCCCTTGATCTATTAAATCCTCATATATTTCTTGGAGTGTTGTGTTACCCTCACTTGAGAAACTCTGGGACAATTTCTTATTTCCTCTGCAGAAATTCTGAAAATTCATTTGTCCCCACCGACAAGTTTGGAAGGGAATTTGGAAAATCCCTCTGAGCCCACATTAGATCTGATTTGTCCTCTTGGGCCATTTGGGAAAAGAGCCAGATTTGTTCCTAATCTCTGAAATCAGAAAAGTTTACTATTTTAGCCTGAATTATGAGAATGCCATGTCGGGGTGGGGGGGGTGGGGGGGGTGGGGAGAGAGAGAGAGAAAATCCCGATGTCAAACTTTTTTAAAAATTTTATTTTTGCAGTTGGGCTGTTGTTTTATTCAGGCCAGATCGGTCATTTGAGTAAAAGCACTTTCTGGTATGAAATCAGTACCTCATCCCTGTTGACAATGGTACATCTCTCTTATACTTGTAGTATTGCCCATCAGTGAGACACCAGAGGTAAACGAGATGAGCCACAAATGAGTCGATCAGTTGAAACCATTTTGTAAGGGGGAAAAAATGTTGTAAACCAAATATTCCTAGTCTCCTATTTCTCTCTTCAGCTATAGGTCCTCCATGTTTGAGTTCTTCATTGAGGAAAAAAAAGCATTTTAGCTGTAATGAACACCCATGGGTAAAAAAGAAAGAAGACACCAGCAAGAAACAAGTTATCACAATGCAGTTTATTTGCAATTTCAAGCATGAAGTTATGGAGAACAATAGACCGAGCAAAAGAAGCCAAACAGTTGCTAGTTTATTTACAACAAGCATTTGGGGACACTTACAAAATAAGCCATACAAACTATTATGCATTTTTAAAATGTTCTTCATCAATTGGGAAATTTATTTAACAGTTTTTTTTAAAAAAATCATCTTGCAGCAGGGAGAAGGGAAAGGTAACCAAAAGAATACTAAAATTATTTTTCTACGGTTGATAAAGTCAAATGCTATGCTTCTTCTAGGCACAGAACAACAAAAGGCATCGTTTAAAAAGATGGCTGACCTAAGCACTTGTCTTCTAATTCCCAATTAAACAATGTGTTGTTTTGACTGTGTATATTCCTCGGGGTGTTGGAAGAGACTTGCCTACTATTACAACTGAATTAAAACACGGGAGTTCTTTGTTTTCTGTTGGCAACTTCTATATATTGTTTCAATTAGCCCATCCATTAAATTGCCTTTTCCATTCTCAAATGCCGTCTCAGCAGAAGGCTATCACATTTTTAAATGCTGAGCAACATGCGCCAAACAGAGCAATGGGGCTTCAGTGAGAAAAATACAGGCCCTGATGATACAGACCACTTTGGGTTACACTTTCCTCCTGCTTTCAATGGGATTTAAGAGGATATAATTATATCACATTCATCTACTGGTGCAAAGCACTCGACAAAAAGAGCAGCATAAGAAATTGCAGAAATATGAAAATAGACATGAAATTATGACCATAAAATGAATGTCAATACTGGAAACAATTCAGTGGTTTTTTTTTTGAGTGCTTAAAAACAACCGAAACAAAAGGTAAGCATTTTCCCCATCCTGTTGATTTCAAATATGGAGAGTGAACCTAGTACTCAATCTCCCACTGAAATCATCAGGGTGTTTTTTAAAAAATGTCTTATGTGGTCAGATTTTATTCCTAAAGTTTTGCACCATAAGAATAGTATTTGAGGCAGGGAAGGGGGTTCCTTAGTCAGAAGGCTTGGGCTTGGCTTTTTGGTTTGTTTGCTTTTGACTAAAATCAGCCTTAACCAGATTCCAGATTTGCTGATTTAAAACTTGCCTGCCAATTCATGAGGTGGTGGAGGAGGGGAGCTGGACTAGATGACCTACAAGGTCCTTTCCAACTCTGTTAATTTGTCTGAATTCCTATCACAAAAGGGTATTGTCATCCTTTTGAAAGAAAGTAGGGGAGGAAATTATCAATTCTGTCCAACATGGGAGGGGTGTTTTAATTCATTCAGCCTGTAGGAAATGTGGTACTTCTTTACTGAAGGCAGAATTGCAATAACAGAGAGAGGAAAAATCAGAGACGCCTCGACAGCCACAAGTCACGTTGGTTGGGAAAGAGACTTGTAACATAAACACTGCCTGGCGAAGGGGTAATACGAGCCATTTCTCATGAATGGCCAACACCTGCTCAGAGGTGTTCATTCAGGAGACAAGGGACAATACCTGTTCATATTAAACTTCTCAGGGGGAAAAAAGAAGGATGACTAGCTTGGGGACTTGTGCTGATGCTGGCGATTAGGAGCTTTTTTTTTTTTTTCAGAATCAATTGTCAACGTGTTATTTATTTTTTATCTGACCATTTTTCGGCTGGACGATGAGGTTGTGGTTGAGACATATTTCATGCTGGAAGAGCCTCCTCCACCTCCAACCCCTATTCCCCCACCATAGCTTCCAGTGCTGTAACTGCTCCCTCCAGTGCTTATACCAAAGCCGCCAGCACCAACTCCTCCCACTGTCAGGCCCTGGCTGCCTCCGGCACCACTGCCTCCCCCTCCTCCCCCAACCCCCAGGCCAAATCCTCCACGACTGCCTCCGCTCATGGTAGACGAGCTGCTGATCACCGCTGCAAGAAAAACACAGGGGCGTTACTGGACTTTGCTTCAACTATTGACTTGTAGCCCATAGGAAGGAATAGATGACCATCATACACAAGTCTTGGGGACAACAAGGGCATATCTGAGTCATTCTCCTATTCCGAGATGCTAATTTCTCCACTATAGTCCCCCGCCCTGAAATTATCAAACAAACTCCCATCCAAATTCTAACGAGGTACGATCCTGCTTAAGCTTTTTAAGGTTTCAGGTGCTGCCACCTATTGAAGGCAACATGAGTAGCATTGCTGCCAAATCGCTCACTCGAATTTCTCATCTAGTGTGGGGCTCTGTTCAAAACTAAATATCAAGGGATATCTCTTGTAGTGCTCATAGAGGATGGCCTTGGAGAAGAAATGGAAGATCTACTACCAAGACAATGATCAGATAAGCAAGATTTTAGCCCAAGCAAGGAAAGTGGCTTATGAAAAGCAGGAGACCCTATATCATTTCAGACAGGTGGGTGTCCAGTCTTTTCTTAGAAACTTCCAGTGATGAAGCACCAACAATTTCTGAAGGCAAGCTTAATTGTCCTCACTGTTAGGAAGTTTCTCTTTAATTCCAGATTGTTTCTCTCCTTGATTGGTTTCATCCATTGTTTTTTGTCTTGCCTTCTGGTGCTTGGGAAAATAAATTGACCCACTCTTCTTTGTGGCAGCCCCTCAAATACTGGAATACTACTATCATATCACCCCTAGTCCTTCTTTCCTCTAGACTAGCCATACCCAGTTCCTGCAACCCTTCTTCATATGTTTTAGTCTTCAGGCCCTTAATCGTCTTAGTTACTCTTCTCCCAAGGTCTTTCTCATATGCCGTTGCAGATCTACCTCATAAGGCTAACACCTTCTAATTCCTTCTTCTATTTAGCAAATATATAGTTTTTGTTTCATTTTGAATGGATCACAACTTAATCCATTTTACTTACGTTTTCTTAAAGCCTCATGTCTCACTTTTAATCTAAGTTATTATTTTCATCACTAGTATAAAATAGGATAGGCACCCCCTCCCCCACCTCACACAGAGTATAGAGTATTTCTTATTTGATCCTCTTGTCAGTGATAGAGAATATTTTTCAAGATTTCTAAATTATATTCAGTATTAGTATTAAACAATAAAGTCTGTGCAAACAAATGTATTATCATGAGCCTTCATGGCTAATTAGCATAAATGAAATACTTACACATGCTGACAGGGGCAGTGAGTTCTCCAGATATCCTATAGGCAAGAAAGAGGAAACAGTGTGTATATAAGTCAATTTACCTTTATCATGTGTAGCTCATAGCCTATAAGGCCCTGTCCTTGCAAATAAAGATCTTGGGGAAAGTATCAAGTGACAATTAGGAACCACCTGTCACTGTAAATTCTCCATCAGATGGGTGACAAAATAAAGGAAAACATGCTTTGTCTCCCTCCTGCCCTCCCAACACACACACATACACACACACACTTCTTTCCTTGCATTGTCTAGATAGGAATTTGGGGAGTGGGTTATTGATGTATTTGATAAATTCCTGTGGAAGTTAAGCTCACTGAGGGACGATGTCTGCTGCATTTATTCTTTCTTGCTTTTGGACTATATACCAAAACTGCCTTAAATAGCTTGCTACTTCTGGAGACTCCCTGAAGTTGACATATTTACTTCATGGACTGGCTCCTGTTAGCTTTTTAGCTATTATTCAACCACACCTTTCCATTTTTGTCAGTCTTTGTCTATAATAAAGATTTGATTTGATTGACCCCTCTCATTTGTTTATTATTCAACAGACAGGGTTTTTACTCATAACTAAGCCATTTAAAGCTTAACTGGACTACTGAAAGGAAGAATCCACATCACACCAGTTCAAACTAATCACACTATGGATTAGTGCCACCATGAACAAAGCTGTAGAGTTATACTTTTCTTATGAAAATCATAAAACAGAGATTTTGCATATGCCACTACAGATAGGTGAGTTCAAAAGAACGCCCAGGATTGGGTGCTCTGCAACTAGAGAGAAATCCTTTAAGTTAAGAATCTATTTCTGAGAAGTTGCCGTAAAAAAAAGGCACTGGTTTCAGACTGAGTGGAAAAAAAGAAAAAGAAAATGGCCTTGATGAGCTGGGGCTCTTTGGTATAATTGACTCCTATCCCTGCCAGCCAAAGGATGCTTACAGTTTCTCTGCCTTTCCTTCCTGATAGAAAAGGCAGCAATTTTACTAAACAAATTAAAAAGTGGGGGGGAGGAATTCCTAGGGAAACTTGTGAGGATGAAACAATCTACATCCCCTTTTAAGGGATTTTGCAAGAGGCAAGGCAGGTGCATAACACTTATGCACCATCTGAAGCACACCCCTGAGCTTTGGAGGGGGTCACACGAAGGGATTAGGATTTGGGAGGAGACTGAAACAGGTTGCACAGTAGTCTTTTTAGCTGGCTTACAGTGGTTCGCCCCTCCCTCAGGGGATCCTGCCCTCCAAGTCTGAGCAGAACAAATTCCTATAGCTCCCTGTCTACTGCAGACTTAACTGGAAAAGGGGGGAAGAGGAGTCTGCCCCTCTCTTGCTGGCAGAACTTACATTTCAGCCCTGAGGAAGCAACCGGCCGCAAAATGGCCGTGCCCGTTCTGTGGCTCAACCCACAAGAAAGCATTTTGCGGCTGCGTTGCCACACAGGTGGTGCAACGTCTCTACCATCTTCTCATGGGATGAAAAATTTATATTCTGTACCCAGTTAGCATCTTGCTTTCAGGAACAGCTGCCTTGATGGAACTGCCTTAAGAGCACCCTCCTGAGGCCAGAGTGCTCATCTGCTTTGTACAAAAACATTGTGAGGGAAGACAATCCTGACCCTTATTGCCTTTCAGGCTTATCCGGATGACAACAGGAGACCAGCAGAGCATTTGCTGTTCTTCAGGGTCAGAAGTTAACCAGAGTAAAGTACATGAACAAATGTTGCTAAAATTGTTGGTGTGCCTCTGGGTATATATAGATTATCCCTTTTTTACATCTGTATAACTACTGGCAATTATTTCACCCCAAGAATAAAATACATTCAGTTCAAGGGTTACTACAACATAAGGTTTTTCCAATGTGCTAAATCAGACAGTGGCCTGGAAGAAGGCTCACAAACAAACTGCACCAACACACATAAGCCAGAAACAATAGATGTTCTTCAGACAGATGCATTTCCTACTATTTTTTTTCCTGGTTCATAACTCAGAAATTTTAGATCCTGGACTATTAGTGAAGGTACACCATTATCTTTAATATCTAAAAGTACTCCTTGCTCCTTCCTCTATCTGATCGCCATGCTCCATAATTTCATCTATGACGGGCAACTATGGGGTTGAACACAATGAGGCCTGATCTCCATTCTTGTGGGCACCAGAGTTGATTTATGGTTTCCAGAGCTAACTGCAGCTATATCTTAGGGATATGGAAAAGTACAATGCAGTTTGGCCACCCCTCCTTCAGTAGCTGACAGAATTCTAGGAGTGGTCTTATAATTAATGTCTACACTAGATTTTCTTGTTCAACAAAATTCAAGGTACTGCTGCAACTGACACCAAGTACCAAAATCCAGCCCACCATTGAAATTCCCAGAATGCCATGGATCCACACTATCTCAGAGGGATGAGGAAAATGAACAACACAGCCTTTCTGCTCTGACATTGGTGGGAGCACAAAGCCAATTAAGCTCCCAAAGCACGTCCACAAATGAAGTGACCACAAGAGGTCACTTTGCCCAGTTGCCTGCTAGCAAGTCCTTCTGCTGTTAGTTCATCTCATGCTTCAAAGCATGGGTTAAGTAGTGGAGGACAAAATGAAAACTAGGAGCTCTTCATATTTAAAAACAGGTTTTCCTCATAAGGTTAATAGGAGCTAATGTCCTTTCAGAAAAGTCAAGGACTTTAAATTCTATCTTTTTCCCATTGTCCTGCCTCATGGTCCCAACAGGGAATGCATATGGATTAAGTTAGAAGTGATTTGGACCCCTCCCTTCTTGAGCACAAGATCCAAAACCATTCCAGACAAATGGCTGTCCAATCTCTTCTTAAAAACTGTCAGGGTTGAAGCACCCACAACTTCCGAAGGCAAGTAATTCCACTGATTTTTCTCACTGTCAGGAAAGTTCTCCTTAGTTCTAGGTTCAATTTCTCTTTGATAAGTTTCCATCAATTCCATTCTTATATTGCCCTCAGGTGCTTTGGAAAATAGGTTGTTGCCATCTTCTTTGTGACAATCTTTCAAATATTGAAAAACTGCTATCATGACACCCCAGTCCTCTTCGTTAGACTAGAGTCATTAGACATACCCAGTTCCTACAATCATTTATCATATGATTTAGCCTCCAGACCCTAAATCATCTTTCTTCCTCTTCTCTGCACTCCTCTAACATCTTTTTTGTATTGTGGCGATGCAGCTGCTATCTTTCTTTTGAAAGGATGAGAGATCTTTTCTTGGTTTTAAACAGAATGGGCTTCGAGCCTTACCCAGTTATCTTGGGCATATCTTGCAAACTCTACAAATTATGTAGACACCCTCCATCATTTCTAGCTATCTTCTACTTCCCCTTGCAATAAAAGCTCATTGATTAGAGTGGGCTGGGGAAAAGATTGGTAAAGCCATAGATGATCTTCTAAAGAAGAACAGAGCAGCTGTCATCTCATCCTCCATAATCACTGGATTAAAGACAACACAACTCTTGATCTGGCAGTTTAGGACAGCTTTTCCCAATCTGATTTAGACCAATCCATATTAGCCCTAGGAAATTAAAATATGTACAACCCATCTGAAGGACATCAGATGGTAGGAAACTAAGTGATCTTATGAACCAAGGTAGCTAACTTAGAAGAAAATATTTCAAACATAAGGGAAATTACTTTAGGGGTAAATGTACACACATTTGGATTGCAAAGTGGTGAAATCTTAGAATGTAGAGATATTGCAGAGAGAGAACCAGATTTAATTCCCAGCACATATTTTATGTGGAATGCAAGCCTTACTTTGTTTGATATTTCTTGAGGAACATACTTGAGAAAAGATTGCTTCTATATCTGTGCTGTATTTTCTCTTCTGAATTTTCACCACTAATTAAAATATCAGGGGTGAAGGATAATTTTTTTTTTTTTTTTTTAAAACAAGTTTTATTAAAAGTTTCAACAACAAACAAATCATTACATATTGAATCTTTCCCTGTTTTTCTACAATAATTTCCCCAATATTCTCATAAAACACAAACAAACACAAACAAACATAAAAAAAATCTTTTAGTAAAGTACCTTGGCCCCAGTTACCTCTCTTTGCATGGGCTAAAATAATAACACATATCACTCTTCACATTTCTATCTTATTTAATCCATCTTAATAAATCATTAAATTGTATCTTTTGCCCATTCATTTATCCCTCTATCTCTTCTTATAATAAAAGAAAAAATTTCTCCTGAAATCACTAATCAGAGTATGATGCCTTTCTATCCTCCCCCTAAGTTAGTAAAATTAACATTCAACATAACAAATACCCAATTTGGTTCTGCTTGGTACATTCTATCCACCAAAAATGTTTAAATACATTGTATCCTCCTTTCCTTCGATATTTTATTACATTTTAAAAATCAATCATTAATAAAAACTTCAACATTTTAATTTCTTATTAAATCTTAAAGCATTCTAATTTACTATTTCAAATATAAATATTACAATACCATCTTCTGTACCTTAGCAGAATCTTTCTTACAGAAAATTATATTTCATCCTTTATCTCTAAAAAAAATCCCTCTTCTCCCATCCAATTTTAAAGCTTTGAGGCTTTTCTCCGCCTTTCCCCTTTCTTTCTTCCCCCACCAAATCTTCCTACCCCCCCTTCTTCTTCTAACCTCTGCCTTGCTGGGATCCCTTCTCTGTTGCATTCCCTTTTTCTCTTGTTTGTTATCATTATATTTACTTTGCATCATATTTTTCTCTTTCTCAAATGTTTTTTTAGATCTTAAGTCCTTCATTTTCCTTGCTCTCTTCCTTCCTTCTTCCTTAGATAAGTTTTGGAATTCAATGAAGATGGCGTCTTCGTCTCTTCCTTGTTGTTCTTCTTCCATTTCCATCTGTTCCATTGTCTGTTGGTAATTGACCAGCGCCATTTCTAGAAATAGAAAAGCTTTTTCCATGCCATCTTTGCAGATTGCTTTTGTTTGCTCATATTCATCCCTCAGGTCTTCAAAAAGGAAAGCCATTATAAATAAGTCTTTTCTTTTCTTTATTCCTCTTTCTTCTTACACCAACCAAATATTCCGAGAGAAAGGGAAAACAATCCCAAAATCCACAATCCTCAATAAATCCAAGCAAGCCAAAATTCCCCCTTCCTCTTCCAGGGGTGGTATCAAACAAATAAAAAAAAAGAATCCAAGTCTATATTTTAAAGCCTTATTAAGATTGTATTTCTGTCCTCAAGTCTTCAAGGCATCTCCTCCAACAAGATCCAAATTTATATATTTTCTTTATCCTCTCCCTTCCGGCTTAATTCCGTCGGGAGGGAGAGTAAACTTTCCCTTCAGCACCTCAAAACAGCCGCTTTTTTTTCTCTTGTGGAAGAAATCATCAGAAAACCATCTTTTCCAGGAATTAAATTAAATAAATCTCAAAGCCCTGGGTCGACCAAGAAGAACTTTTACTTTCAATAACTTTCTCTTCTTCCTCCTGCGCATACTTGCCCGGCTGTCAACTTCTTTGTGGCGGCCATTACGGACCGCCGCTGCACCGTCCTGGTAACAGGGGGTTCTGCCGGCCAGGGAGGGGGTCTGCAACACCCCCAAACCCTTCCTCCGGATCCCCCTTACCTTCAGCTACCCCTGCAGGGCAGCCTTGCTCCGCACCCGTCCGGGTCGAAGCCCCAAAACGGCTAGCGCGGCAGGGATCGCGCAGCTTCGCGAATCCCTACCGCTCGCGAAGCCGACAAACCGGAAACTCAGGGGTGAAGGATAATTTTATGTGTCTCTCTCCAAGTCAGCAACCAAATCTTACTATGAATAATGACTAAGCAATATTATAATAGACATAATGACTGTCATTAATTCCAGATTGTATAGGAAACATAATTTTAGTTATTTACTTGAAATTACACAAGCATATATTATTTATTTATATTCTTAAAAGCCTACCCCATGCTAGAAGCATCCCTGGTTAATGTTAATGTTAATGCAAATTATGGATGTGTGGAAATGTCTTCCGCTATACTGATGATATTGAACAGCATGTAGTGCTTCCTAAATATGACACTGAACCTTCAGACATTTCAACATTGTTGGAAATGTGCCATAAAAAAGTTAATATTTGCATGCACACACACATCTGCCACTTTCTAAACTTCCTACTGACAGCTTGAGAATCACTTTTATTTACTGGCTAAATATACCATAACATATACTCTAGATTTGGGGATAAAGCTAGACATAATGTTTAGAGAGGCAACATATTTAGGGGCAGAAAGAGAAAATTCATTTTAGCTACAAAACATTTGATATCACTTTTCATTGATAGGACTCTTGTTGTTTCCCGTGAAATTTTTTTGCTATTGCTGAATTTAGGAGAAATGTCCTCTATATAATGTCCTCTCCTTGGAGCCCTTTGGAACTTTATCCTATGCACTATCCTATGAATTGTGCTAGGCAAAAGGAAACTGAAAGAGAGAGAAAGAGGAAGAAGAAGAAACTGCTCAAAACTGAATAAACTAAGGATCAGACCCAGGGACAGGATGGTTGAGGAAAGACAGCCTTTTAAGAAGGATGAACTAAATGCAATTTTCTCTAATTTGGCATCCACAAAAGGTACTTATTTGTCTCTGATTGGAAATTCCAGGAATTTCCTAAGAAAAAAATCAGTGGAAAAAGCCTGCAGAGCTCTGAAAAGAGAATCAATAGAAAAACATACAGGCTTCAAACCTAGGATAAGACCTTTGTTACACGCGGAAAAAGAATGACAGACAAACAAACAAATTTTAATGGGAAAGGTAGTGGATGCACAGGCTGTATTTCATACACACAGAAAAAGCAGTTATAGAAAAAGCAGAACAGCCATGATGACAGGTATCTGTTGGTATATTCCCATGTTTAAGATTGGGTAAAATTGACACACAAGCAACATGCAAATAGATTTGTTTCACTCAGAAACACAATACATTACAAGAGTGCACCCACCTGCATTCTTCGCCTTCTAGCAGCGTGCGGTATGTAGCAATCTCAATATCCAGAGACAGCTTGGTATTCAACAGCTCCTGATAATCACGCAGGAGACGTGCCAGCTCATCCTTCGAATTTTGCAGAGCCAGTTGCAGGTCGCTCAATTTCACGCGGGCATCTTTCAGGGCCAACTCCCCACGCTGTTCAGCATCAGCAATTGCTTTTTGAAGACCTTCATTCTGGATACATTTGTATATTAATTAGGCTCTAATTTCATGATACGTGTGTGTCATAGCATGCGTGACTTCATGAAGTATTAAATAAGTAAAGGTAAAGGTTCCCCTCCCACATACATGCTAGTCGTTTCTGGCGGTGCTCATCTCTGTTACAAAGCCAAAGAGCCAACACTGTCCGAAGAAGACCCCGTGGTCATGTGGCCGGCATGACTAAATGCCGAAGGCGCATGGAACACTGTTACCTTCCCATCAAAGTGGTCCCTATTTTTCTACTTGCATTTTTACATGCTTTCGAATTGCTAGGTTGGCAGAAGCTGGGACAAGTAATGGGAGCTCACTCCATTACACGGTGCTAGGGATTCGAATTGCCGAACTGCCAACCTTTCTGATCAACAAGCTCAGTGTCTTAGCCATTGAGCCTCCGCGTCCCCCCTCGCATTATTGTACACTGGCTTTTATTTGGACCTCAGAGACTCAAAAAAAATCAGAGGGCAGCATTCAATTGCTCCCATTATTCTTCAAATCCATACTTCAACAAGGATATTGATAAATAATGTCTTATTAAATTGATGGGATAAACACATTCAACAGGACTCATGCATCTTTCAGTGGACAAGTTCTAAATCTTGTTGAAAGGCCACGGGGCAAATTCAATTTCAGCAAAATGAATTTCAACAAAACATGTAACTCAAGGGATTGTAATACCAGCAGTCCTTGACTTATGACCACAATTGTGCCTAAATTTATGTTGTTAAATCAGACATTTGTTAAGTGAGTTTTCCCTATTTTACATCCTTTCTTGCTATAGTTGTTAAGTGAATCATGACAGCTGATAAGCTAGTAACACGGTTGTTAAGTGACTCTGGCTTCCCATTGACTTTGGTTGCAACATGTCCTTAGGACACAGCAATGGTGGTAAGTATGAACCAGTTGCCAAGCATCTGAATTTTGATTACATTATCATGGGGATGTTACAAAGGTGATAAGTGTGAAAAACGGTTATAAGTCACTTTTTTAGGTCCATTATAACTTTGAATGGTCACTAAATGAACTGTTGTAAGTTGATGTCTACCTGTACTCTCTCTCCTTCACTATCTATCTCCATCAACAAATTTATTCTTCAACAAACCAGTTCAAAGTGAGTGCCACTTTCTGTTCCTAGACGACCTCCAACTATGACACTTAACAGGGCAAGAATTATTTATGTTAATAACATGAACATGTGCTTAGATAATCAAAATGTTTACTCTGGTTTGATGTGCCAAGGAAGCCTTTCATGGTCCTCTTTTCCTTGTGTGCATCATCTTGGCCTAAGGCTTGATTCAAATTATTGACAAATAAGCAATAGCACTTAGACTTATATACCGCTTTATAGTGCTTTTACAGCCCTCTCTAAGCGGTTTACAGAGTCAGCATAATTGCCCCCAACAATCTGGGTCCTCATTTTACCCACTTCAGAAGGAGGGAAGGCTGAGTCAACCTTGAGCTTGGTGGGATTTGAACTGCCAAATTGTAGGCAGCTGGCTGCAGCAGATGTAGCTTGCAGTATTGCACTCTTAACCACTGCACCACAGAGGCTCCTAAATACTTTTTGCCCCTAAAAATCTTGAGGAAATGCATACAGCATCATAATGAAAACATATCTTGCATCTTGAATTTTTCATGCATTCAGAAAAACAGGTGCAGGGAGTTTGATTGTGGGTTTGAGCTTTTATTGGCATAGCCAACAAAAAGTAAACCTGGAAATTATCAAATATTGCATCTTCCTGCAAATGAGAGACCGAAGCTCTCTGAACCAAGGAATCATGTAGTTATTATAAGTCATATAATATATGGTAGTGCAGTGGTTAGAATGCATATTGCAGGCTAACTCTGCTGATTGCCAACAGTCTGATCCTGACCAGCTCAAGGTTGACTCATCCTTCCATCCTTCCAAGGTTGGTAAAATGAGGACCCAAATTGTTGGGGGACAGGCAATACGCTGACTCTGTAAACTGCTTAGAGAGTGCTGTAAAGTGTTATAAAGCATGTCTACATGCTAGTCCTATTACTATTGAACTTTGAGCAGTGTTTTATTCTAATCAGAGCCTTTCTGGAGCTAGTGAGTCCATTTCTATGCATTTTGTAAATAAATTTTGTGTTTCACCTATAAAATAGAAGCTAATATTGACATAATAGGGTCACCGAGTTTCAGATATTATTCAAGCTGCTGTGTTTTGTATTACAGAGCAATTTTGGGAGCAAATTCATATTCAAAAGTATGCAACAATTTAAATGTGAGGTTACTAGAATTTAGATTAATGAAGTGAAGCTATTTTTATCCAAGCAGAACAGCAGCTGGCACACAGTCAGAGATGGTAATGCATGACTGACGGATAGTCCTGAGAATCAAAGAACATCTCCACGTAACCGTTCTTGCAATATTTCTGCTCCACTTCTACTGTAGAGGAAGAAATAGCAACTTAGAATACATCTCTGCATCAGTGGTGGGATTCAATTTTTTTTTACTACCGGTTCTGTGGGCGTGGCTTGGTGGGTGTGGCAGGGGAAGGATACTGTAAAATCTCCAGTAAGAGGTAGCATTTGCCAGTTCTCCGAACTACTCAAAATTTCTGCTACCGGTTCTCCAGAACTAGTCAGAACCTACTGAATACCACCTCTGCTCTGCACGTTGTGTAGGCCTGAGTTATAAACAGTCAGGGCAGGGGAACGATCTCCTGAAAATGGTGGCAGGGATCCTTTAATCAAAGAGCTATCCAACTTGAATTGATATGCTTGACCACTTTTCCTCAGAAATAAATCCTGTTGAAATTCGATGGAAATATGCTCCTAGCATACATACATGAATGAACTGCAAAATAAGGTGCAAGCTAAGAGCAGATAGACCTGTAACAAAGATGAAAAAAAGGGAACAGAAAAACCCATGCTGACAAGAGTATTGCTATATTCAAATGGCCGCTTACCACTTTCTTCATATTGTCAATTTCTGCTTTTAGTCTCTGAATATGCCGAGTCAGTTCCGCAATCTGATTCTTCATATCTTTGAGGTCATCCCCATGACCAACAGCTGTGCTCTGAAGTTCCTGAAACTATAACATCAAAAGAGAATCCTAATGACTGATGGGAAGCAATACCAGCTTCACAAATTAGACAAGAGGCCTTGGATATGAGGTGAGTTCTGTGTGTCACCTTTCCCTAGAAAAGGCTGATAAAAGATTTGCTGAATTTGCCACATCTAAACCTAAATGTGATTTCAAAACAAAAAGTGGAATCTAAATATTTGCCTTGTAAGAAGAGGCAAAAAATAATAATAATAAAACCCTTTCCTATATTATGTACTGAGACAATGGCATCACACTTTGTCTTTTAGCAAAGCTCAGTAGGCACAAGAACTTTGTGGTTAAAATGGTAGGTACAGAACTTGTAGTTGCATTATTTCTCATGATAAATTGCAAAGCTCCCCCATGGCTTCTCATATAATAATGTGTAGGGTTTTTCTGTTCTTCCTAGCAGTCCCAAAAGTAATGCTTGTTACGACCTCATTATAAAGGAACCTACGATATAAGACAAATGTTCTACATCAGATTCAATTCACTTAAAGGATTTCTGAAAAAAAGAAAAGCCGATTGGAAGTGTAAACCCATGGCCTGACTCAACCCTCTCACTTCAGACTTTCCTTCTCGTTAAGAAGAGCATTGATTCCAGATTAAGAGGATAAGATTATCTTAACTGCACAATCATCGCTGGAAAAGGTACACAGAGTCTTACCTTGCCTTGATACCATGCTTCTGCCTCAGCCCGGCTCCTGTTGGCAATGTCTTCATACTGTGCTTTCACTTCAGCAATGATACTTCTGAGGTCCAGATCTCGGTTGTTGTCCATTTGCAAAACAACGTTGGTGTCACTAATTTGTCCTCGGATTTGAATCAATTCCTTTGTGGAAGAACAAGATGCTATTATCCATCCATCCAGATGTTTACAGATTGTTACTCACTAATTCAAGTTCATCTTAGCAATTGAATCATACAAAAATATTCTGTGGAAGCCAACTCAAAATAAAGGTTGTGCCTCCTTTTGGCAAAGCAGTAAGTTGTCAGTAGGCTGTCTAGTTAGTGTTGTCATCACTGACTACAGCATCTCCCTGAGACTCTAGATGGAGGTTTTTCTAGTCCTATTTAAAAAAACAGCATTTCAGCCTAGGAGTTAGGTGCAGAGGTGGGCTGCAGCCAGTTCACACCGGTTCAAGCAGACCGGTTGTTAAGATTCTGCACAGTTTGGTGAACCAGCAAATCCCACCATTGGCCCGCCCCGCCACACCCTATCTCACCTCGCCCGCCTTGGCCAGTGGCTATAGTTACGCCCATGCCCAGCGACTCTCTGGCTCCTTCGCTCACTCACCCAGACCACATGGCCCAGTTGATCTCCGCGCCTCGCCCATTCTGCTCACAGCTGCTACCCACAAAGTTAAGGCTCTCGGATGAAGGGCCACCTTGGGGTGGACAAACCGAGTCTTGGCCACCTTTCAGGACTGGCTAATGCTGCCCACTCGCCCTTTGCCTTAGGTCGGGGGATGTGCAAGTCCATGGCTCCTTTCCCAGGGCCACCGCTTGCATGCTGCCCACTCACCTTTCACCTCAGGTCAGGGAATGCGACATTCCCTGGCTCTGGCCTTCCCTGGGGCCTCCGCCCACATGCCACCCACTTGCCCTTCACCTTGGGTTGAGGAACATGCCAATCCCTGGCTCTGGCCTTCCCGGTGCCTCTGCCTCCATGTCGGGCCTCCGCTGTAAGAACAGTGCAAACCCCATGGACTAGAAAGTAAAGCTGATGGCGGGGAAGGAAGATCTGCTCCAGGTTTGCTGCGCTCAACCAAGGACCACCTTGGTGGGGGCGAAACACACAGAGAGGCTCGGTCCCCTTTTGGACCCAGCTTCGGCTTCTGGGGGGGGCTTCCAGGTGTGAGGCCTGAGAGAAGATGCCTCTCCCGAGGACCGCCTGCTCTCCCATCCACCTGCCAGGTTGGCCTGGAAGCAGAATATCCCCTTATTGTAGGCTGGATGTGGGACCCGAAGCAGAGCATAGGTCAAACAGGCAGCAGGCCAGAGCAGGGCCCAAAAGGCAGTCGAGCCTCGCCGTGTCCCCCCCACACCGAGAACCCTGCAGCCGCCAGCTCTTTGCCGGCATGAGAATCCTTCAGCTGCCACCTCTTTGCCAGCACGAGAAGCCTGTAGCCGCCAGTCTTTGCTGGCGTGAGAAGCCTCCATCCACTGCTGCTATCTCAATTCCAGCTAGCAAAGTGGCGGCGGCTGCAGGCCCTTTGCGCCGGCAAAGACTTCTCACATTAAAAAAGACTAGCGGCTGCAAGATTCTTGCACTGAAAAAGACCAGAGGCTGCAAGCTTCTCACACTGAAAAGGAGAAGCGGCTAATTTTACTCAGTGTCCAGGTAAGAATGAGATTAAGATTTGTGCCATAATCCAGAAGTCTAGGTTCTAGAAATTCCTGTAAATTTTAGTTTTCTATTCAATATGGAGTTCCATTATCAGAAATTTTCATACCACAGTTTAGCTGTAGTCTAGTTTTATTTTTATTTTATTTTTCAGTTTTTCATTCAAACAAAGCTTAAGTTAAGGAAACCTGAGCCTAAATATTGGGAAACCTAAATATTTCCCAAACTTTCACAATAGAAGAGAATATGGCTGTTAGCATAATAATATGGATTTTTTAACCTAAGGATGAGGAAAGAGAACGTAGTAAAACCATTCAAGCTAACTAATCTGATTATATCATTCTTATGTCTGGGAACCCATTATTAAAAACATTCTGATTCAGAACATCAATTAAAAAGTACACTTTTTTATAGATAGCACTTTCTCCATCACCGTTTTTAATAATAGTAGGCCTCGTATATATCAAATTGTTTACTGTTTCAAGAAGACATAATTGATTAGTGGACCTGACTGACTTCCTCTTTCTCCTTTGTAGTTCAATGGTGCCTCTACACCAGGGCTGTCAAACTCCCGGCCCGCGGACCAGATGCAACAAGCACTGGCCACGCCCACACCCAGGTTAGCAAAGGGGGGGAAAGTACTAATACGTCACGTGACGATGATGTGACGGCGTGAGTCTGACACCCCTGCTCTACATTGTGTGTCAATCAACATTTCTTTAAACCTATGAAAAGAAACTATATGTAGCAGTCAGGGGTGGGATGCAAATATTTTTTCTACCAGTTCTGTGGGTGAGCATGGCTAGGTGAGCATGGCTGGGGGGCATGGCCATGTGACTGGGTGCGCGTGGCTTCCTTTTTCTTTGACAGCCCCCCACCTGCACTCCTTTTTTTTTGCCTCCTGGGCCTCAGGGAAGCCTCCTGGGTGAAGCTGTAAGACAGCGAGGGGGATCCTGGCACATCTGATCATCGGAACAGCTGGTTGTCGGGAGGGGGGGGGAAGAAATACCGGTTTGGTAGAACTGGTAGCTATTTTTTTACTACCGGTTCGGCCAAACAGTGGCATTTTTTACTACCGGTTCGCCTGGTAGAATACCACCACTGGTATCAGTACTGCAATTAGGTTTGCACATTACATCATGCCAGCATTAAAGAAACAGCATTACATCTTAATGCAAAATGTTGTCCCAGCCAATTGTGATTTAATCAACAAATCTGGGCTAGCAAAATCACATCTTAGCCTGATGTGTGAATCCAATCAGGACACTCCCAAGTCCATATTGTGGATACTGGCCTCCCTGTCCCATAAAAGAGCACCAAGGTTTTGATCTAAGTCCCCAGGAGATCTTTGAAATAGAATATAGTAATTCATAGGATTGTCAATGAATCACACTTGTTCTACTTTCCTGGCAAGATCATTCCAATTCTTCCCCAAATGCAATGTGATTTCTGGCCCTGAAGGACTTTTCATTACTTTGGATACAATGACAAGAACATTCAACACTTACAGCATCAAAGAGGGTCTTCAGGAAGTTGAGCTCATCTATCAGCCTATCAGTCTTTGCTTGCAGGTCTATTTTGTGCATGAATGAAACATCAACATCCTGCAAGAATGCAACACATACCAAAATTACATAAAAGCAGTCCAAGGATTCCTAGACAGCTGCTTCATACCACTTTAGACATTCAATTTATTTAGCCCATAGAGTGTACTCCAACGGGCAGCATTTCTTCAGAGTGTCACATAAAAGTTTTGTTTTTAATTAATAAACTGGGCATTAAACTTATGCCTTTTTACAACAAAGAAAAATGTTGGGGAACAGGAGTCCTCTAAATGTTTTACACCACATAAAAGGGATGGAGAAATTGAGGTCCTTCAAAAGTGGTTGAATTACAATCTCCAGCAGCTGTAGCCAACACAACTAATGGTAAACAAGGCAAGAATTGTAGCTGAACATACTGTATATGGAAGACTACAAATTGTCCAATCCAATTCTACATTGCTGCAAGGTTCTGTACGATGCACATTTCTATTTAGAATTGTCCCTTTTAATTCAACATCTTACTCTGAATGTGCCACTACAAGCTCACTGCCTAATAAATTAATGCAAGTTTAATATCACACATCAATAAAGAATAAACACTTCCTTACAGTGATGTAAAATGTAGAGCATAATTTTAAGTTGTAGCTTTATCAGTAATCAGTTTACATTTAATACTAAATGTGAACCTTCCAATGAAAAGGCCATGTTTTTTTTTATAATCTTGTTCCAGTTTCTTGCTTTAACAAGTGAATGGGTTTGCAGGTATTAATGGGCTCTAATGACCATCAACCAAAGTGAAGAATGAAAAATCATAGGAGTTGTGTCCAAAAATGGCTGAAATGCTGTAAATTTCTCAGCCTAATTAAGAAATTTATAAGACTTCGAACAAAAGTCTTTTCTCTGTGTATAAGAATCTCCTTTTTCTTAATTCTTTTGTTTTAGGATAGTCACCTTTTTGATACCAACAAAGTCATTTTCAGCAGCGGTGCGTTGGTTAATTTCATCTTCATATCTGTGAAGAGAAGGAATATAGATTTTCAGTCCACTTCAAGGAAAATATCAGGCAGAGAAAAGTGCCAATCAATAGCCTTCAATGGCCTTGACAAGGCTGTCATAAAAGCTCTTCTTTTAGGGAAACAAATTGTTTATATCAGTTTTGAATTAATTTGTGGCACAGCAGCCATGTCAAAAGAAAAAAGAAGAGACTCTTACTTATTTTACAATATTGAGTCAAACCATCTGCAAGGAATATCAAGCACGAATTATAAATGACATTTCATTAAACTCACCAGCATTTATTTTACGTCTCATGCTTGAGGAACCTGAGTTTCAATAGTTTATCTCCTTTAAAACAGTGTCTGACTTAAGTTACCACTCCATTAAGTTGGCTGCTGGAACTTGGCCAGCATTTCTGCATGTGAAGGATTGTTATCTTTCATCATTACTGCCAACAGCAGGTCATTACAAGTGTTGGATGACAATGCTTAAATAAGCAGCTATTTATTTCTTATTATTTATACCACTTTAATTACAGTTGATTCTAAGCGATTTGACTAAGAACATTCATTTAAAAAACCTAAAAATTGTACTGAAACAATTATAGTGCAGAAATTAACACAACATAATTCGGTCAGCATCCATCAACATTAATGGCACTGCAATCTCTGAGTGGTCTCCAAGACTTTGCACGATAGTTGAGATTTCACACTTTTGGAATACCATAAAGGAAAGGTTTATTCTTGCTTCATATTACATATGTAATACATTATGACTATGTAGCACTCCCAATTCAAAAGTCTGCTATAACCTCGCCAGTCAATTTACATTTTTCTCCAGGTTGGCAGAAAAATAATATCTATAATGCTATTGTATAGTTATGATAATTATATTTGCATAAAAATAGTGGAGTAATTCATTTTTTTTCATTTTCCTATTTATTCTTGTCTTTTTCTTTATCTTCATGTTAGCTTGTTAGTCTGAAGTTTTTACATTTTTAATTGTAATTGTAAAAAAAAGCAGTCATTTTTATTTTTTAAGAACAGCTCTATAATATATGGACATAGAATAAGCACATATAGCATGAATATATCACTTCTATTGTATCATGTACTCTGTCTATGTGTGTGTGTATGTGTGTGTGGTTTCACCAGTTTTCAGATAGTATCAATATTCTTAATTTAATCTGAAACAACATCTGAAAGCTAATAATTTAAATAACAATCTTCCAAAGTAAATTCAAACGAGGAGGCAAGTAGCCTTGTCAAATACATCACAAGTCTGAGTAGGCATTAGAAAGTTTGATAGTGCTCCACAAAATTGTGTTTTGTTTTGTTTTTTGTTATAAATGTTCTTATTCTCACTGGTTATTCTATTAATATTATCATATTTGATTACTATTCCATCCTTTTCTTTTTTAAAAAAATTAAAACATGTCAGTTCCATTTCATTTTATTGTAACTGTCTCCTCAGCGCACTTGATTTAATTGCTACCAGAAGTTTTCATAAACTTCAGAAGTGTTCAGTTCATTTTAATGAACCGTAACTACTTGCTTTAATGTCCTCATTTCTTTGATAAATCAAAAATGTCTCCACCCTAAAGCACAAGCTCGAGTTCATGCCAAAATGCACAGGCACACAGCTATCATTTGGGCATAGTTCCAAGGAAGACGGGTAGGATGGGCTGCTGCAGCTTCTTCAGAGCTTCCTCGGGGTACTTCCTCCTGACCCACAAGAGTATTTCACAAAGTAGTTTTCAGGGGTCTGGGCAGGACCTTTTGGGGGAGGGGGAGTCTACAAAGTCAAATTTTAAATATTTTAACATTTCTCAGTTTTCATTTCCAGTACATATCAATAGATATGGTCCACATAAACCAAAACTCTTTGGGGTCCTCAATCATTTTTAAGAATATAAAGGAGCTCTGAGACCAAAATGTTGGAGAATCACGGCTCTGCTAAAACCTTCTTGCAGACAGCAAGCAAACAGAGCATCTAACATTCTTATTTTCTGCCTGTTTTAGTTTTTCATTTTGTGTATATTTTTTCATAAGGGAAGGCCTTAACTCTTTTATGCCCCACATGCCCATTTGCAGACTAATCTCATCCCACTTTGCTTAAGTAGGCCTTGGAATCCCACTTACTTCCTTCTGTAGTCTTCCACAAGATCCTGTACATTTCTTAGCTCTCCATCAAGCTTTGCCCGATCGCTCGTTAACTGATCCACGTTCTTTTTGAGGTTACAAATGTAAGTCTCGAATAATAAATCTATGTTGAACTTTGGAGCTGAGCTGCCCTGTTGTTGCAGAAGATTCCATTTTGTTTCTAGCACTTTGTTCTGTTGCTCAAGAAACCGTACCTGAAGTCCAGAGAGAGAGAGAGAGAGAGAGAAAGTAATGCTTTTAGGAGCCCTTTTAGATTGGAATGCACACCACGTTGTATAATGAGGACTAGCAGCATTCAAATCAAGGGATGACAACCACAGTGCCACAAGTGCAGCAAGACAACCAGGAGGCCACCCAAATCCTTAATAGGGCTACCAGATCAACCAGGTGACAAACAGCAAAGATTTAGAATCTTGAACCTTTATTTCCTGTCATCCAGAAGTAATCCAGACGTTGCAACTCAGGTCTTATAGCTGTATCATTAAATCATGTATGTGGACAAAAATATGTTATTTTTTTGGGATTGTGGATAGATTGGTTTTGTACTTATTTGCTTAAAAAATAAGGCTAAATCTGTATGCTTCCACTTGTGTCCTTCAGGAAAGTTGGAGTTCAGCACCTATCATCCCATTAGTAATCTGTACCCTAGGGAATATGGAGCTGGGCAAAATAACTTTAAATTACTGTATCATCTTTTCTAAAAAAAATTCTTTGGCATGAATAGTGCTGCAAACTGAGTAGGAAAAAATAGTAGCAAATTGCTATAAAAATAGCTTTCTTTCTATCAATACATGACCAATTGGCAATCCCACAATGATGGTATCATTAATTCTGTGCTGAATCTAGCATTTTCATGACAGCCTAAACACTACATGGATAGTTGCATTGTGAGGATTGCCAATTAACTTTGAGAAAAAAGAGAAGTATGGGTATTCTTGTTATATTTAGCACAAACTAAGTGCAGAAGTTTTCTTTTTCCCAGCAAAAACATTCCTTACTGACACTTCACATCAAAATTCTCAGAAGGTAGTTGAGAAGCTGCAGTTTTACCAAATCAGTGGGTAGCTTCAACAAGTCTCAAAGCCTTTGTAAAGTATAATTGATGTGCCTTGGAGCAATTCTGCCTCTCGTCATCAAAAGTATACATCATTGCTGCCACCACAATTACATCTGTGAGTATAGGGACTTAAATTCTGTGCAGAGGACTGTAATTTCTGTTTCCGAAGACCTTCTGATTATTGCTAAGACTGGCTACATTATGGGTAGTCCTCGACTTACGACCACAATTGAGCCCAGAATTTATGTTGCTAAGTGAGAAATTTGTTGAGGTTTGCACCATTTTACAACTTTTCTTGCCCCAGTTGTTAAGTGAATCACTGCAGTTGTTAAATTAGTAACACAGTTGTTAAGTGAATCTGGCTCCCCATTTAATGTAGCTTGCCAGAAGGTCACAAAAAGTGATCACATGACTCCAGGATACTGCAACTGTCATAAATATGAACCTGTTGTCAAGCATCTGAATATAAATCATGGGACCATGGGGATGGGACAATGGTCATAAGTGTGAAAAATGGTCATGTCACTTTTTTCACTGCTATTGTAGCTTCAAACGAGGAGCTGAGGACTACCAATATTTTAAGAACTGCAGGCCCAAAAATATCTTCAAGCTTGAGTTAAAAATCTCTTCAGGAGAACTTGCATTCAAATTTGCAAAAAGGTACTTGGAATGAAACATAGAAATTGCTGCTTGAAGATACTGTAGACAACAAAAACAAATAATCCTATGTCATAGACGTAAGAGATCATTTTGGTCAACTCCTCTTCCTATGGAACTCTGGGAGTTGTAGTCTTATATAAAAATACGTGAGATGAGTGGTAATGTATCTGCTGAAACTCTGAATGATCTCCTAAATGTGTTCCGTGAACAATGCATTGCGAGAATCCTGATTTCACTCCTCCAGCCTCGGAGGAATTACAGGAACTTGGAATCTTGGAAATTTTTGCAAAAGGGCTGACAGGTCATAACGTTCAAAACCTGAAAATTCAGCTCAAACAGTTCTGCAGCTTAATCATAAGTAGTGTTTTGAACTGTGATCTCTGAGATTAAATAGTAGTTGTTATTATTATTATTATTATTATTATTATTATTATTATTATTATTATT